GCTATAATCGAATATAACAGGTCAATACATTCGGTAACTGAGATGAAACCTATTACAACCTTCCATTCCTCGGAAGCCGACGCACAAATAATATCGCGTATAAAAAACACTCAGATCAAAAACTTAGAAGCGCACAATAAGAATAGGCAAGATAGGGATTTTGCCGTTGGGGAGAAAGTGTTCGTAAAAAATAACAGAAGGCTAGGTAATAAACTTACACCTCTTTACACCGAAGAGGAAGTCGGAAAAGACCTGGGTACCACCGTTCTCATAAGGGGGAGGAGGGTCCATAAGGACAATCTCCGCTGAATTTTCTTTCTTTCTAGAATTAGCACAAGTTATATGCGGGAGACGAATTAAAAAATTTTTTTTTATAACTTACGTTTTCAGAATCGCTTTAAAATTGGTTATAGCCATATTGGTATCAGCAACATCTGGACGACTAATAGACTACTCAAATGCAGGATACATTCCGGTGACCGGTGGTGACCTTGTTATCTGGGAAAGTTATGGACACATCAAACATGTTACGAACCTGACTCTGTACGAACGACTAAAGGACGAGACAGCTAACGCTACGGACCATTTTCCTCAAACACACATGAGGAAGTTGCTAGACGCAGACGTAAATCAGATAAGTAGACTAATACAGACAGTAAATACTCATCACAGACAAGCGAGAAGCTTGAACTTTATAGGGACGGTACTGAAATATATTGCAGGGACCCCAGACCATGACGACTTTGACAGACTAACAAACAAGGCAGAACAACTAATCGACTCCCAGGACAGACAGTTTACTATCAACACGGAGGTACAGAAAGAAATTAATAGTCTCACCATTACAGTAAATAAAATCTTGAAGACAGAAAAACACAGAGAAATAGACACTAGCCACCTTTACGATATTCTATTAGCTAGAAACAGAGCAATAATAACAGACTTAGACAATCTTATCACTTCTATCACATTCGCAAAAATTGGAGTCTTGAACCCCATCCTTTTAGACAGTAACGAAATAAACTTCATAATAAAAAATGAGCACTTCACGAACCTCTCCGTGGCCGATGTTATGGCTGTAGCTAATATTAAGATTTTGCAATACGATAATGTAATTTACTTCCTAATAAGATATCCTATTCCTAAGCTTAGATGTAAGAAAATTACTATTTTACCAGTAGCTCACGGCCACCAAATGCTCCACCTACAAGAATCCACCTTAGCGGTATGCCATAATCGTACCTTAGCAGTAAGGAACTGCAGCGACACGATACCAACTTTTTGCCTACCGTCATCAGCCACATCATGCGCTCTACAACTACTGACACGTAACACTGCAAGCTGCAGCACCACATTCAACAATCTCACGCCGATTACACCAATAGGCGATGGATTGGTAGTCATAAATGACCAACTGGCAATAGTAGAAGAAAGTAATGAAGCTCCTGTTACAATTAATGGCACTTACCTGGTCGTTTTCAAAGATCATGTAAAAATCAACGATTCGTTATATTACAACGAGAATTCGACGACTCCTCTGCAACCTGAAACTCCATGGGCTTCTGAGATCAACCTGACACAACACACTGAGATACTAAGTGCCCCCTATCTGCACCACGTGAACCAACGGAACCTCCAACACATCCGCCATTTACAACGTGTGGTCGATCAGGGCCAAATCGCAGGTTTATCAACCATTGGTGGTTTTCCGATTGTGGGACTGGCAGGTTACCTATTACGACGAAGAACCATCACAAAAAAGAAGATTATCATAACCAGGTCAGTTGAAGATGCAATCAAAAACGCTATTACGAGGACCGAGGACGGCCCCCACTTAGAAGGGGAGGAGTTATCATGAGGAACCCTCGGGTTCCCATATTCCCACAGTTTGGCTGCACTAAAGCAACCAAAAACCCCACACGAGCTGCTAAGTCAGCGCATTAAACACCTTATTCTAAACACCTTATTCATTTGGTTGCACCCAAACCAACTACTTACAACCATTCATGGGAAACCTTCATGCTCCCGTATTCCCACAAGTAACACGAGCCGCCTATTCAGCACTCCACTGCAGGCTAATAGCCCAATATTCTACACGGGCCACTGTGTCAGCAAGAAATGCAATGGCAACGTTGGCAGAGCGACAGCGGCGCAGCATAATGTGGTGGCTTAGTTTTAAGTAACAGTATTATTGTAAGTTCAGTTTTTAACTCATACTCAATGAATAAAGTTTAATCCATTCATTTTGATTAATTTATATAAGTATTGGAACAACTCTAGTTTAGTAAAAACTCCGACTAGACCTGGACCCATTTACCTGCTATCATTGGAAAGCTTATGGAATTACCTATCCACCATGAAAATTGATATTTTTATACCAGTATTTTCGTATATAACAGTTTTGTAGAACCGGATAAAAACCGGATGTTGTATTTGAAATTTCGGTTTACCGGTTAACCGGGTATTTTCCCCACGAAAAAATTACTTTTCCTTAATCAGGTTAAAAAGACCCACCTGCGGTATAAACTTCAAAATGATCCGAGCATAGCCCCTAAACTCAACATGCTCCAAAATTGCTTAACTTTGATATTTTTCAATAGCACAAATTAAATGCAAATTTTTAAATACTATTTTTTAATAACACTATGGTCCGTTCTTATATCTTTTCTTTATAGACCACTTTTGTCATTCCTTATTTTAGGAAAAGTGTAGTATAAAGTTCATATTATCGGGCTCTCATTATTACATCTTTCTTTAAAATATATGCATTTTTTACAGAGATGTGGCAAGCTTTCTTTAAAAGTAACTGGTATTCACTGCATTTTTTCACAATAACATCTTTATTTTAATTTTAAAAATGATAAAAATGAGAATTTATACTAAAAAATACGCTACTATTAAAAAATATTGTAGTGATACTGTACCGGTATACAACGACAATCGTAGAGTACCGCAGTCGGAGCGCTAAATATAGTAGTGTTCCGCAGTCGGAGCACTAAAAAATCGTACCACATTAAAAATGTACTGGCTATTGATGTCAGTGAGTGCTTTTTATGATTTGAAACAGAATATTGGATGTTTGATTTTTGGTATAACAGCATTGATAATGAATAAAATGATTATAATGAAGGAAATTGTAATTTTAATATTTACATTTTCATATATTGAGACGCATTATTAAATGAAACCACAGTGTCTGATTAAACATCCTATAAGACTTTCCTAAATTATAAAAAAAATTGATATGAGAATCAAATTTTTGTAATTATTCACTGAACGTTTCATAAGAACTGAAAGACCGGACATTGACATTTTTGCATATATTGTAAAAAATTATTCTTAAAAATAATAAGACTACATGTGCTCCGATGCGAAATTATGGCAAACTACCTGAACGATGTTTGATTTTATTTACACCAAAATATAAAACTGATAAAAACCTCAGCCACACTTTGTAAAATCTTATTCGACTATACGACTTTGCTAAATTATACAAAATTTGATATGAGAATCAAATTTTTGTAATTATTCACTGAACGTTTGATAAGAACTAAAAGACCTGTAAAAAATTGTTCTTAAAAATAATAAGACTACATGTGCTCCGATGCGAAATTATGGCAAACTACCTGTACGATGTTTGATTTTATTTACACCAAAATATAAAACTGATAAAAACCTCAGCCACACTTTGTAAAATCTTATTCGACTCCTACATTCATTGATTTTTCGGTACCACAAATTAACAGGTAAATTATCTGCATAATAACCATTCATTGATTTCATCTAGCGGTCCCCTGAAAATATTAATAAATGTATGAATCAATTTACTGGTTATTACAACGCAATTGGCCGAATTTCAGGCATATCCATAAGGAGACTCAGGCTAGCGTTCTTTTCAACCTAACCTATCTCATTACAACGCAAGCACTAATACTCCTGTTTCGCCGAAAATTTAAAATTTCAATTCAATGGTTAAATACAGATTCTTCTCACTTCAGATTTGGTCCTTTTTTATTCTTTCTACCTCTCATTACTACTATCTTCAATTTCCCAACAAATATAAACATACATGACAAATAAATACATCCAGCATCTATTTTCACACTACGATTTCGTAGTGCTCCTACTCCTACTACGTAGTACACTACGTTTTTTAGTGCTCCGATTACGATACGATTATCGTTTTGCTCCGGTACAGTATCACTAAAATATTTTTAAGAGTTGTGTTCCGGTACAGTACATTATCATAGTGTACCACTCCACCTCGGAACGGTACAGTACCATGATATTTATTTTCGAACGCTGAAACAAAGAGAAATTGTGATTAATTTCGTAAAGTAAATATTTAATTCAGATCTTCAATATAAAATAAAAGATTTGCGATATTCATTTTTATTTGAATACATTCTTTTAAGCCAAAATATAGATACCATTGTGAAAACAATAAAGTGACTACCAGTTACATTTACAAATGATTGTTCATTTTATTGCCATATCCCAGAAAAAACTGTGTTTATTTTAAAGGAAGGATGAAATAATGAGAACCCGATAATCATAAATTAATCCTTTACGTTCCTTGAAGTAAGGGATAACAAAACTGAGCTAAAAAGAAAAGATATAAAAACGGGCCCTTTTATATAAGTATTGGAACAACTCTAGTTTAGTAAAAACTCCGACTAGACCTGGATCCATTTACCTGCTATCTTTGGAAAGCTTATGGAATTACCTATCCACCAAGAAAATTAGTATTTTTATGGTATTTAAATACCAAAAAATGGTAGTAGTGCAATTCGAATTTTCACTTATCAAAATTTCATTACCATTAAGTGAAGAGTGGTAGAGAAATTGTTAGTGCACTAAAAATATAGGGTTCTATGCATATTTCTGAACGTGGCAATGTGAATTAATTCCGATAAATGTTGTATCTAAACGCGATATTAAAAGCAGATGTTGCCAGATTTATTTTGCTCTTATTGCCTATTGTATCGGCGTTACCTATACACATCGTGTGGCCAAGTTTTCTGGCATGAAGGAGAGAATTCCTATACGCCTATATTTGATACATACAGAATTAATCGATTTGGTCAATTTTATATTCCAACAGATTTTCCAAGTGGATATTTTTTAATGTTTTTGCAACCGATTGTAGTGTAACCAATAATGCAAAGTTGTTTGAAAATGGCTCTAATGTAGATTACTAGCCTTATTGTATCTACTTTTCTTATTGGAATATGTTACGTGTATTAAGAAACACTAAAATGACAATCGAACTAATAGTATGAGCAATATATTGTTATATTGCTTTCGCAAATATGCCGAGAAATACTGCCAAATGTAGACGAAATGTTAAGGGAAGCAGGTCCAATGTCGTACAAAAAGCTGAAGACAAGCTATCAAATAATATGGCTCCGAAGGAGAATAAGGAGACAAGACGGAGGGTAACAGTAAAAACAGAACTTTTATCTGCAATAGAACCAATTACAGAACCTGTGCACCAGAAAGGATATCGGAAGTCTGAACGTCGAAGAGTAGCTCGTGATATTTTTTTAGTATTTGAGGAGCAGCCCAATACACGACGAGCCAGAGGATCAAATAAGAAACAACCAAAACCAAAGTTTGGACATCTAAAGGTGGAGGAAACTGTAAAGTCAAATACTCTTTTGAGGGATATAAAAAATGAACCAAAATGTTACTTAGGAGAAAACACTGTTCATCATCAAATTGATAAAAAGGACGCTAAAAATAAAGTCACAAACGCCATTGCAAACACACAATTAAAAATCTGGTCATCTGCTTCGAGTAAGACACATTGTTCTGTGTATTCCAGCATTGCCAGCCGAGAACATACAAATTTGTCCCAGGAAACAAGCCCTGAAAATGTTTCTCAAGTCGCGAAAGTCAATCCTATATTTCTTTGGGCAAAACAAGACAACACACGTATCATTGAAGTGCGTTGTGAAGATTATGACAAACGCAATAGAATACGTATAACAAAAACCTCAAACGGTTGGCGCGCTATGCCACGTTCTGATCCATCATCGTCAAAGGTTCTTAAACTATACACTACACCGCTGGTAAAAGTCAAACATGAAGCTCCAATTCAAGCAAATACTAACATATCCCAATCAAATACCACTATATGTGCAGATGCTATCAGCGATAGTAAACCCGTTGTAGTCGAATCAGAAATTTTGAAGCAAAGTATGGCTCTGGACCCCATTGACATAGGAATACAGGTCAATGGAATAGACTGCTCTATAAAACAGCCACCAAAGAAATCTAAAAAGAAGAAAACAAGAAAGCGCAAACGTGTATTTACTTGTAAAAAGGCTACAATAAAAATTAATGTCACTGGCGTCGAAGAATCAAATTTAGAAAAAATTAATTTTACTGAGAACAGTACACTCGAACCTCTTATATGCCAAAAAGGGGACATTTCGTCAGAACATAATTTGGGGAAAACGTGTGAACCCTTTTCAGAAAGCTTTCCTGAAAAATCGTGTTTGAATGTGACCAAAATTAATACTGATGTTGACGACAGTGCACCTAAGTCTTGTTTGTCGACAATCAAAGAAACCTTTACAGCAGAACATCTAGCATATCCGAATGAATCTAACGATGAAAATTCACTACAACTATGTCCAAAAACGGGTCTATTTTTAAGAAATGTACCCAGTCATGACAATATTGTTGAAATTATGGAGGATAATCATGATAGGGAAACCCTCTCACGGAAGATTATTTCCATAGATACTAAACCTAATTCCGCAGACGATAACAATGAGAGTTTGGAAGCGAAGACTCGAAATCTTAAAGACCTTTTAGATGATGCCGATCTTTTTCAACATTGTGATGATAATGCCAATTGCGATGCCGATTTAATTGACACGCTCGTTAAATCAAGTTGCGAGAATAATTTAATACAAACAAACGAACATAGTGAAAAAGAAATGATTGAGAATACACACATCAAAAATATAGACACAGTTGGAGATAACATGTTGGTGGTTAATGAACCACCAAAATGTCTTTCTTTTAATGAAGCTGGAGAAATCGAAGCTCTAAACTGTGAATTATTTCATCCGAACGATGAGTTTATTGATTCGTTTGTTGAAAAACAAAGATCAAAAGCAATATGTGGCGTCGGATTATCTAGTAATAATAAATCTGTCGTTACAATGGTACAATCTTTGGACATACAGCACAGTCCTGTCATAGAAGATATATCAGGCATTAGTGAAGATAAAGGCATACAAGACAATCATGGAGGCATACATATAATTGAAGAATCTCCCAAAGACCTAAGTTACAAAAAAAGAGAAGAAGTCTGCCCCCCTTCAGAGTCTCGAAGTCAATGTGCTGTAACATCAAGTTCTGATGTTGTTAAATCCCAAAACATGGACGAGTCTTCTGCTTTGGCGACTTCTTCCGAAACGTTGAAAAATCTTATATTGGAGCAATTTATGAAGTTAAACACTATGTCAGGACAGAAGCATTCTGGCGGTGTCAAGCAGTTGGATGATCCCCATCTAAGTTCATCTTGCTCAAAAGGAAACATGTCATCCGATATAATTGAAACTGTTGTTATTGAGGACAGTGATAGTGCTAATGAAGATAATCAGATCGATCGATGCGAAGAACCGCTGAAAAAGCGTTTACGTGCTAGTGCATTACCAGCTGCGAAAGTTGCTAATGATGAATTTGTTAAATCGAAATTGGCAATGATTGACAAAGATCCTGACCCATTGACTCAGTTGAGGTTACTCATTCGAAACTCTCAATGGAAAGTTCCTGATCCCATCCTAGTCCCAAAAGATCGATTAAGTGCTGTACTGGCATCACCTGCCAGAGAAATTCCTCTTTTAATTACAACTCGTCCCGAATTAAGACTTCCAGAAGCGTTTGCTTATCCTGAAATAATACAGAACCCTAACATACTTGTTATATCTATGGCCCAGTTAGAAGCAATACTTAAGAACAATATCGAAACAGATACTAGAAAATCAAAAGATTTAGGAAGCAAATCATCGTCGCAAATATTTCCACAAAGTATTGGAAAACATACCAAGTTGGTCGCCGATTTTGTTGAGGAAAATCAAGCGCAAATCGCAACTAATATGATTTCTCAAAGATATGGCAATGAAGAAAAAATTTTAAGAAAAACTAAATCAAGTGAAACTACATCCAAAGAGGAAAGTGCCAAGTTAGCACACAATGAGTCGAGTTTATCTACCGACATTAATGCGGCAACAATGGCCGTTCTCAATCAAATGCTTTGGCTCCCATATTTTGGTCAGATGTCCCAGGATTTTATCAATTCTGTTAAGACGCCACAGCTTTATACTCAATCTGCACATCCGCTTCCTTCAAAGACAAATAATGTAAATACTGAATCGTGTAATGCTATTAGAAGTCAACAAACAAAAACAGCAGCAACGCGTGATAGTCAAAATTCTAATGGCATTTTCTTAAATACAGGGCTAACATCTTTGTTTAAACAAGGTCAAGTGGATGATTTAAATTTGTTTCAGAAAATTGTACAGCATCAAATGCAAAATGTAATAAACTTGACACAGGTAAAAAACTCTACTTCAACAGAAGCAGGTGCAAACGCAACCGCTGTTCCTAATAATGCCTTCATAAATGAACAAAGTTCGCATGCTGGACTAGCAGTGCACAGCTTGTTAAATACCGAAAAAAATTATAGAAATATATTAGCTGCACCGCAAATAAAATTAAAAAATGTTGGCCAAAATAACCTTGGAGACTCCACTAAAACATATAATCTAAGGAGTTCTGTCGCGTCACGACTGTCTTCAGATTATAACCAATTTTCAAATTCAAAAAGACCAAATCTCGACAATAAACCTAGGCTAACGTGTAAATCTTTATCAAATCTCATAGATCCCGAACACAAACAGCCGACAAATATGACTGCATCCTCAAGTCTAATTGCACCATGTGTTCTCAGCGCAGATCCGAATTTTCAACAAACAAACAATGACATTAAAGACCAATCAGCTGAAAATAATATGTTAGGAGTATCTTGCCCGCCTGTTCCAGATCACTTTTCAAATACCTTAAGGGTCCATTCGAGTGATAGTACAAGGAACGTCGATTCTTTAAACGATCACAATAAACAAAGTAGCAAAATTGTCGACAATGTTCTTGTAGATAATGTTTCTAGAAGTGGAGATTCGGTGAGCTTATCTAATGAAACCAATATACCACTATGGCATCCACTATTTGGAAGGTAAGATAAACATGCAAGCTAAAAAAATAAATATAAATCTTTTTTATTTGTAGTAACTCAAAGTCGGTATCATACAGTAGCCCTTGGCAATGGACGACCGTGACAGCAGCAGGTGAATGACAATCGAGGGCTCTGAATAAAGAGCCCAATATATCCAAAGTCGAAAGCAATTCATCTAAGGTGAATAACGTTGCCACCAATCCTACAAATGTAGACTATGCAAATGTTAATAACAACAACAGCGGCAGCATAAGCGACACTATTAATAATCCGCTAAGTATGTACAGTAATATGGGAATTGATAACAGAAATTGTCCACAAAATAAGGCATATCTAAATTTGGAAAGCACTACGGGGAACCACCAACAGTTGCATAATACCAAGAGGAAGGATCCCCATCTACAAGCATCGTACAACCTCTGTAAAGAAGATTCCAGAGCAGCAGCTGCTGTTGAATATTCAAATGTTTGGCAGCAACAACAGCACTATAATTCTCACAACTGGCAATCTACAGGGATGACAAACAATCGTAATTATGTCAACAATTTACCCAAGTATGCAAGTGCAAATCGAATGCACACCTTTCAAAATCCTCGTCCACTATATATGCAGTTCAGCCCTTATTTGGCACAAAGGACCATTATTGCATCTCAAAATCCTTCCCAGCCGATTCCTCAACGTTCCGAAAGTCAATCAAATGAAATCCAGCAAAGTATGCGTTTCGGGGACTACGATTTTGTACAACGTTAACGCTTTTTGTGTAATTTAAAATGTCATAACAGACTTCATTCATTCCGTAACAGAGGAACCCTTTAAAATCAACAACATAATTGTCGAATTTCTCCTGAGTATAAGCTACCATATTGGGAAATGTTTATGCTTTCGTAGCCACATAAATAACGAAAACAATGTGAGACCTTCAACGCATCTACATTTATGTGACTTTAATTAGAAAATTTGTTATAAGTAGTTTGTTACGCACTAATATTGTTAATCTGTACATCTCAACCTATTGTATTTATTTATTTGTTTACCTTTATGTATCTGCATAATTTACAATAATTTATGGAATATGTATGAATTCAAAGGATTGACTAAAAAGTCAAGAATCAAAAATATCTTGTTATATTATATTATTTATATTATTATTTTACATTTCGATATTTCCCAAAAAAAGAAACAAATAGCGGTGATTTTAAATTAACATTTCATTCCACAAGGCAAATCTAATCTATAGTAAAGACAAATTCATACACATGTATCAATTGATCAGTTTATTGTTCTTATATACAATGAGGGAATAGTTAAATAAAAAACAAAAAATAAAAAAAACACATTTGGGATAAAATTAATATATATTACAAAACTTGTTATAAAATTAATTCTGTGGTACTCTTAGAATATTTTATCAGCTGTACATGTATTACAACAACCAACATTGCTGAATCAGTAAATAAAGTCAATAAACATATTTCATATTAGGACCGCTAAGGATTACTCCGAAGACATTACCCAAAAATTTATTTAAATATTTGAATATTCAATTAAAATGACTAGTTTATATAAAGACTTATTACATTTTTGCAAACTATCTTTAACGACAGAATTTAATATATGGTAACTTTAGCACAACATTTGTTTAGGCTTACCCGGAATCATCTGAAAATTTATCAATCAACGGATCTTCCTATGTTAAAGAGGCGTCTCGTAGATTATAGTTTATTTCTGTGATCATCCATTTCAAACACCTATAGTGACTTGCCCTAAAATTACGACAATTACATATACTAAAAGAGGTATGGATAATTTTTTTTTTGTCGAATACTCCCAACGCCATTCTTTCCACTCCATCGGACAGTGGAACAATATGTCCTTTACGTTGGGATCACCATGATCCCTAGTTGAAAATTAGTTAGCATAATAGGAAAATATTTTTAATGCCAACCAGCAGATGCTTCATCAAATTCCATTTAACAGATGTCCATGTCGTTTAAGGCAACTATTTAAGTTACTTTGTCTAAAATTATGAAGATATTATGGGTATATCGTAAATTTATTGCGTTAAAGCATATGCAAAGTAAATACCAGGATAAGCCCAATCCCACGGCAGCGGGTTCTACGATACCGGATTGACCCGAAACAACAAGATCCCAGTTTCGGACTGCGGCTGCCAATCCAGTACGTACATGTTTGTGTTTGTTTATTTCTGCATTGGGAGCAGCATATCCCGGATTGCTTGCTCCGGATTTTATTGGTTCGTGCCGGGATTGAGAAAAACCCCGGACCTAGGTTCTGCTCGGTTTGTCAGAACGTCATCCACCACAGATCTGTCTCGGTGCCATGTAATGGACGCAGAGAATGGGTGCACTTCAAGAACTGTTCCGGACTAAGGCGTTTGCGAGACTACAGCGAAAGGGATTATGTTGCGACTTGCTGCAGTAACGTAGTCCCCAGCGAGTCCACTTCTTCGTCGTCCTCATCAGAGACGTCGTCGGAGTATGGCACTCCACCGCAGTCTCCAGAAGAGCAACCAACACCGCAGCACCTAACGCCACATGTTGCTGTTCCAACTCCGGATTGTGCATCATTCTTGCAATTCAATTGCTACGGACTTCGAGGCAAAATATATGAGATAGTGGAATTTATGAGTCGGAGGAATATTAAGATCGCAGCGGTGCAGGAAACCAAGCTGAATGAAAATTGCAGCCTACAACGTTGTTATGGTTACAACGTACTAAGGAAGGATCGCACCAGAAGGGGATTAGCGTTCCTGTTACACCATTCTGTTGAGTACAGACCTACCTCGCTTGAGCTAGTCTCTAGTGACCCATACATGGAATGTATGGGGGTAGCAGTCAAGTGTGGAACTGCCGAGGTAGAGGTGCTTAATGTGTATATCCCGCCGATTAATAGCTGTGAACCGCGTTATTTGCCTGATATTAGCCCGTTATTGGTAGGCAATAACCGCCTGGTACTAGGGGATTTAAATGCCCACCATGAGTTGTGGCATTCCGTCCTAGGTAATGACCAGAGGGTATCAGCGCTGGCAGAGCAGATTGCTGCTTCACATTCTGCACGGTTAACGAGGATGCCCCCACCCAAATAAGAGGAGAGTGTCACAGTTCGCCAGACTTAACCATAGTGTCACCCGGTCTGATAAATGACGTGACTTGGCAACCCGTTATTTCTCTTGGCTCAGACCATCTCCCGATAATCGTCTCCATAAGCAGATCGCCCGATTTCATAACCTCTGAACGCCGCACTTTCCTTAACCATGGGAAAGCTCACTGGCCAGAGTTCAGAGAATTCACCAACCGCCGCTTCAGAGAACTGCCCAACTCTTCTGATGTTCGGTTAGCAGAAAGGATTTTCCGAAACATCATCAGAGCTGCAGCCGCTCGCTATATACCTGCTGGTCGAATACCCGAGATAAGACCAAACTTCCCAGCAGAGGCAGCGGGATTAGCAAACGAGCGTGATGATCTCCGTCGTACCAACCCTACTGATCCTAGAATCAGTGATTTGACAGTGGAAGTCAACCGGTTGGTACAGGAGCATAAGAGGAAAAAGTGGCTAGACCATCTGAAGTGCTGCAACATTGGAACCGATATGAGTATGCTGTTGGTAACGATTAAGACGCTCTCGAACCCTGGAAAAAAGGATGATAGGACCTCAGTCACTTTTAACGACGTAACGGTGACTGATCCGAAGAGGTGCGCGGAATATTTTAACCGACAATTTGTCTAGCACCCCGAGAGCGATACGGCGAAGCGAAGAGTACTACGTCGTATTAGATCTCTTCCCGCCGAGGAGGAACCACCACAGTTTACGATGGGTGATGTTGCAAATGTCATCCGTAACGCTAAGTCATCCAAAGCGTAGGGCCCGGACGGAATCTCAAAGATAATGTTGAAGCAGCTGGATACGCCGGGACTCGAGTAGTTAACGAAAGTTCTCAATTTGTCGCTAGACACCCACATAGTGCCCGAAACCTGGAAAATGGGCCGGGTGGTCCCGCTACTGAAGCCTGGCAAGGATGCCAGTAAAGGCGAATCGTACAGGCCGATTTCGCTTTTGTCGCCAGTAGCAAAGACTCTTGAGGCTTTACTCCTCCCCAGCATTAGAGGAAGCTATACAGTTGCCAACCACCAGCACGGATTCCGTCCACAACATAGTACCACAACAGCATTAAACGCCATTTCCACACGTATTAGTAGAGGACTGAACCAGAACAGGCCGTGTGACAGAACAGTGTTGGTTTTTGTTTGAGGACGTACAGAGAACTACCCTCCGGCCAAGTTTGAAACGTAGGATAATCAACTATATGTGTTGACGCCCGTCGTACGTGGAATTCCGGAACAAGAAGTCCAAAGCCCGTAGAGTGAAACAGGGAGTTCCCCAAGGTGGGGTGATATATCCGGAACTGTTTAACCTCTACCTTTCCGGAATTCCTCGCCCTCCAGACGGCATTGAGATCGTAACGTATGCGGATGATTGTACGATCATGGCGTCGGGTCTAGTGGTCGATGACATATGCGAAAGATTGAACCCCTATCTCGCGGAGCTTGCCGCATACTTCCACGCGAGGAATATGAAAATATCCGCCACGAAATCAACGCTCTTTACACACACACTCTTTACCACATGGTCTGCGGAGATGAGAACACAGCTGAATGTTCAGGTCGAGAGGAATCTAATACCGACCACCAACTACCCCAAGATTCTTGGGGTAACATTCGACAGCATGTTCAAGTCGTCCGCGCAAGCCACAGCTATCTGCGACAAGATGAAAAGTAGGAACAAGGTCCTCAAGGCGCTAGCCGGCAGCTCTTGGGGTGCGGACAAAAGGTTTCTTTGTCCGCACTCCTATAATGCGATAGGTCGGTCTGTGGTCAGCTATGCGGCTCCAGTGTGGTCTGCGAATACTAGTGCTACGCAGTGGAAGCATATCCAGACCTGCCACAACGCTGCCTGAGAACTGCGACAGGGTGCCTCCTCATGACACCAGTGGACCATCTACATGAGGAGGCGAAAGTCCTTCCCTTACGTCAGCATAATCATATGCTTTCGTTGCAGTACCTGCTTGGGTGTTACCGTGAGAGTCATCCCAACCATCATATGGTGGATAAGTCTCCCCCACCCAGGCGTGTCAGAAAGGATATACATGATCTAGAGAGTGAGGTCCAGCGCTACAAGAGAGAACCTCTAGATCAAGAAGCCTATCAGGCAGTTCTGAGTGGCATTCACACCGCTGCAGTCGCGGGTGCTATTAGCAGTTATAAAGTGAATACCGTCCTCGGAGTCCACCCCCCATCAATTGCTCAGCCAAACCTACCCAACTCACTCCAGAAGATCTCTGGCAACAGCCCGTTAAAGTAGCCGAATTTCAAAACCTGGAGCTGGAACCAAATTAGCAGAACGCAAACACATACATGTACTACTGCTACAACAACAACAACCAGGATAAGCCAAATTCCATTTTTATTCAAGCAATAAACGAAATGAATATTTATATGCTCATTTTCAGAGTTCGAAAATTAACTAAATGAAACATTTGCAATCTTTGTTGTAGGTGTGAGGGGTAAAGGGAATGGAAAACATTTGTCGTCCTGATTTTTCTTCATTTTATTCACAAATATAATTAAAAATGACATACATTTGCTTTGTAAAAAAGATAATTACAAAAAATAAATGCTTTATATAAAAGGGGTAAGTTCAAAAGAGATCGATAAATCAGTTGCTTTAGCACATTAGTTTTGTCTCAATTTTAGTTTAGGGCCTAAGCTCGGATTGACCTGAATTTTTTATCACATGTAGGTATTTTCAGTCTGACCGGATATTTAAAACACCTAAAAGGTCGGAAATGGATCCATTATGGGGTATTAAAATTTATGTAAATGCTACATTATTGCCTACACTTGGACCTTATATGTTAATATCTCTCGTAGCTCCGAAGACATTATGGATACAAATCATGAAATTCAGATTTTCTCCATTAAAAGGTATCTAACATTTGTAGCTTTGTAGTTCCGAAGATATCGACTTTAAAGTCGAAAACCGCCTACAAAGGAGAAAATCTTAAGCCACGGCCGAAGGTCGACTACGTAACACAATTTATAAGAAAACAATCTATGGATCGCTTCACTTTCAATCATCTTAAGTTATATAGTTCACTCATGAATGGACTTACAAACGACCAACGCCTTCAAATCATTAGATTTTATTATCAAAATGTGTGATCTGTTAAGAAAGTTCATATTCTATTTTATGGCGAAGCACATTTTTCGCACAATGGGTACAAAAATAACAGAATTTCGGAGTGACAAACAGCCAGATCGTAAAGTAATTATGA